TAAAATTCTACACGAACATACAATATATATATATATATATATATATATATATATATATATATATATATATATATATATATATATATTAACACGTGCGTGTTTTTGTATGTAAGTGCGTCTGTAAGAGAGAAACTTCTGGACGCTATTTATTCAACTGTGACTGTCATCATTGTAACCTACTGTGTAGTATTTCAACAAATAATGCAGAATCGCAATAAACAGCAGGGCCACGTTACAGTATTTACTGGTATCCTATATAGCACCAATTTTCAGTATATTTTTTATGACGTTTTTCGTATTTATTAAATAAGTCTTATACTTTCGTAGTCTTTCCTCGTTGTTATTTCATCTCCAAGAAACTGAAGCACGGTCAATTTTGATAATTATTCTTTGCTTCCTGCGAAAGCCATATGAGCAAAAGCGCTTGATTTATGGCTATATTTCGCTGAGTCATTAAGAACTGCGTCTTTATTTCATTTTATTTCTGCTCTTTCTTTATTTACAAACAATATCAAAACATTGCAGAGCACTTTGTTCTTAAGTGAAAGGTTTTTTATTTTATTAGAAAAGTAAATTTTTCCACTTACGCAATAACAAGTTCAAAATCGATATTAGTGAGTCATAATACGCGAGCAAATATTAAAATTTATATATTCTTTAAATTGAACTTCAAACATTTAAATTGGATATATATATATATATATATATATATATATATATATATATATATATATATATATATGACGTCACACATTATGAAATGGACAAAGTCCGACAATTGTTTTAAGACATTTTTTTATATTCATACATTATTTTTATAGATACATTCAGGCCGGTAAATGTTGTTAATACTGTTTATTATAAACAGAGCATTTACTTAAATATTTGTATCTATAAAAGAATGTATAAACATAAAATGCCTTTAATATATATATATATATATATATATATATATATATATATATATATATATATATATATGTATGTATGTATATTAATAGGATTATTTTTTAATATTTTATTTATGTGCATGCTTAATATGTAATTGTTTTACGTGCCATCGCATCTCTCTGTCTTTTCTACAAATACTTTCACGATAATTGCTCCGATGAGTTGCTTTCACAGGTTCCCAGACTCCATGAATTCAAGCACCCCACGAAGCTGGCATCCTGCTGCCACCCTTACACTGTAGAAACTTTTAAATGTAGTCGTCTCTTCTACTCCAATAGCTTCATACCACACACCTCTCGTCTGTGGAACACCCTTTCCAATTACTGTTTCCCTGAGAGCTATAATCTCCACCTATTCAAATGTAATGTCAATCGACATCTCCAGTCACCTTGATGTATCCACTATTTCTCTCCTCATCCTTTCTTCTATCACTCCTATCTGCTCTCTCTCCAAATCTTCTGCAACCCCCTGCATCCTAGTGGCTTCTCGCCTTGCTCGGGGCGTAATGTTTACATATATATATATATATATATATATATAGATAGATAGATAGATAGATAATATTAGTGGAAAATATATATACATATGCAAAATATATAAATACCCATACATGTATATTTTTAGAAAAAAAAAAATTCCAAGAGGAAGAATCCAGGTAGAACTCCCATATACAAATATATATGAGTACATACATACCAAAACATATACACACATATATATATACAAATCTACATATACGTCCATCTACATATATGTCCATCCATCTACACATACATACATCCATATACGTATACATAAATATACATATATACACATACATGTACATCCATATATACACATACATATACCTATATACACACCCCTACATATGTACACATATATACACACATGCACACACAGCTAAGTATACACACATATACATATATATGTGTATGTATATGTATGTAAGTGTGTATATATGTATGTATGGAGGTGTTTATGTGTAATTGTATATGTGTGTATGTGTGCATATATGTATATATGTATGTGTGTGTATGTGTATATATACATGTGTATGTGTATGTGTGTGTATGCATGTGTATGTATATATATATATGTGTATGTATGTGTATGTATGCGTATGTATATGTATATATATATATATATAAATATATATATATATATATATATGTAGATGTGTATGTATGTGTGTATGTGTATGTATGTGTATGTGGATATATATGTAGATGGACGTATATGTAGATGTGTATATATATATATGTGTGTGTATGTTTTGGTATGTATGTACTCATATATATTTGTATATAGGAGTATATGTACGTAGATATATGTGTATATGTAGTTAGACGAATAGATATAGGGATACATTGTCTATTTTAAATAATTATATAGCAATGTAAGGTTTTAGGTATATATGTTTATGTGCACGTATGCGTATGTCCGTATGTATATATGTGGATAAATGTGTGTATATATATGAAGGACTGGATGCAGATGTATGTATGTGTGTATATATGCATGTATGTGTGTGTATGTATTTTTTGTATATTTTTTATATTTTTGGTTTATATATATATATATATATATATATATATATATATAGGTGTGTGTGTTTGCGTGTGTTTGCGTGTGTGTATGTATCTATGTATGTGTGTATATATGTGTATATATATGTGTGCGTATGTGTGTATATGTAAGGGTGTGTGTATATATATGTATGTGTGTGTATATATATATATATATATATATATATATATATATATATATATATATATATATATATATATATACATATATATATATATATGTATGTATGTATGTGTGTATGGATGTGTGTGTGTGTATATATATATATATATATATATATATGTGTGTGTGTGTGTGTGTATGGGTATATGCATGTGTGCATGTGTATGCGTGTATATGTATGTGAAAATTGTGTGTATATGGATATAGATGAATATGTGTATGTGTGGATATGTGAATATATTTTTATATGTGTGTACATGGGTATATGTATGTGTGTATGTGGGTACACGCCTATGTGTATATATATATACATGTATATGTTATTGTGTATATTCGCATGTGTTTTTGAACATAGAAATATAGGTCCTTACTGGATTAGATAATCGTTATATTTATCTTCATATATTTATATTTGATTTGTAACCTGTAGTCGATATTAAATTTGTCAAATGTTCTCAATTACAATGCGGCCCTTTAAGTAAACGCAATTTTACTTTCCTTCATCCCATCTCTCTCCATCACCTCGTCTTTCCCTCCCTCTTATTCTAACATTAGCTTGTCTATGGTGTGTGTATGTCACCACGAAATGTATCTTTATGCATTAGACATCTGTCAACATTCATTTTTTTTCTCTTAATTAAACCCCTTCCACCCATCTCTCCTAAAATTCTCTCTGTTAAGGTTTAATCTACCTCCTCCTCATACTTACACTCTCTCTAAATTCTGTTTTTATTTCCGGAGTTGATTTTTTTCTGTTTTCTTTTTGAATTTGTAGGTCTGATGATTTGGATCATATTTACGATTCCAATGGAATAAATTATGACCATGGAATATTAGTGTTTAAGCCTTTATATATATATATATATATATATATATATATATATATATATATATATATATATATATATATATATATCAGTCAATGATGGGCCATGCGTTATACACGCTTAGGCGATCATGTAGATTTCGATACATGACTGACGAGGCAGATTTTTTCCCGCAATAGTTTGCCATTTATTTCTGCGGTAGACCAGTTGCCATCCAAGGCTATAGAACCTGATCTGTCCTTCCTATTTACCTTCTTACTCATAACTAGGGGAGAAGAGGAGAATTCATATCTTTACAAATATGTGAGTGTAAAAAAAGTCGACTGGATTCCTCAATACGAGCTGGTATCGATTACTCCACCGTGCCTTCCATTATATATATATATATATATATATATATATATATATATTCAAGTCTAAACGTTTAGATAAAGTCAAGGTGATAGCTGATCTCAAAAATGACTGAAAATCTGGTGTTAACTGGGGTAAATGATGACTTGTTATTTTCAACACGTTGAAAACTAACTGTTTTTATTAATCATCTGAGAGTCCCTTTTCTGGCTTCATTAAGCATAGTTAATGCTAACCTCCACGTGAGTGGCTTGTTGCACCTTCTCTTGCCAACGTTCTCTGCTGACTTGAAGTGGAAAGATTATGTCGAATCCATTGCTAGGTCTTTAGCTAAGAAAGTTATTTCACTATGTCGTAATAGACAGTTTTTCTCTCCAGAATCCATCTTGCATATTTAGATGTCTGCCAATCATCCGTGCTTTGAATATTGCTGTCAAAGGACGCGTGGTGCTCCTGATATATATTTAGAGGTTATTGTGAAAATCCAAAAGGGAGTCTGTATTTTATTAGTCTAGAACTGTCATCTCGGCTTTAGTCACTTTAACACCGTCGTAATATAGACTTTTCTGTAAATATTTTCAGTGTATTTCTTCAAATAACTTTGATCTATGTTACCGAGATTTTATGAATTTAAAAGTAGGTCTAGATTGCCTGCAAGTTATAATCATACTAGAGATGTATTGGGTAGATTTAACTGTAATTACTTTGCCTACAATTATTTTTCTCGCACTTATTCCCTGTGGAAAGTTTTCCGTCTTCTCTCTCTTAAGCCAACTTCCAAAACGTAAATGCGCTTTCAATCGTTATCTGCTGTCTTTTTTAATTCCTATTTTTTATTGTTCTTGCTCGTTAATAATATTTTTCTTTTTCTTATTCTTCAAAAGACAGTAACTCCTTGTGCCGTAGTGGATTTATTGCCTTGTTTAGGGCGAAATGATTAAAAAAAATGTAGTTTTTATTATATTATTGACTTTGAACAAATATCAAAATAAGATTAAAATAGTAGGCATTATATAATTAAAAATCCTAATTATAAGTAATTATGTTTTTAATGAAAAAAACTAATGGGGAAGGAACATATTATATTTATGATTATTTAAAATTATAGTAATATATAAATATTCATTTCATAGATAGATAGATAGATAGATAGATAGATAAATATGTGATTTTCAGTAAATTACTGTATGCGGCATGCGCGCTGAAATGTAATTGATTTGACGAACATCCAACATTATAAACAAATAGCAAAACATCATAATATGGAGGAGGGAAAGTCATTTATGCCGTGCTTCAAATTTTCGAAACATAGATAGGTAGCTAGACAGACATAGATAGATAGATAGATAGATAGATAGATAGATAGATAGATAGATAGATAGATAGGTAGGTTTGACGAATAATTGGGAATAAATGTATTTTGAGTATAAGTTGAATACTAGTTAATATATTTATAAATCTTTTCGGCAGTGCTACACACCACATAGTCACTAAATGTTTATTCTGAGATAACTTAATTCTTGCATGTTTAAATATGTATATATATATATATATATATATATATATATATATATATATATATATATGTGTGTGTGTGTGTGTGTGTGTGTGTGTGTGTGTGTGTGTTTTTGTGTGTCCCTTTGTGTGTATCTGTGTGTACACACAAACACACACACACATATATATCATTTATTTATCTGTGTGTGTGTATATAATGTCTGTGTATTTTTGTGTTATTTTGAGACAGTGATATGATTATCCTCGTCAGATATTTTAGTCCATGAATGTATCTTCTTGCTGCCAAGATGTCTGCTTACTTCACTCTCGAGCATGATAAACATTCAAAAATTACCCTTTTGAATTATGCATCATTTCCTTTCTTATATATCCTTTTAAATGTATCACGTATGAATAAAGCAATGCATGTGAAATAGGAGAATCAGTGATATGATTAGCAGGAATTAAAATGATAATAATATGCAGGCAAGAGAAACGGCGACTACATTCATTTTTACAGGTAGACTGATATTTCCATTTCTCACGTCTGTCTTTCCGACTTGGAAATTAATTTTACGATTACTCGTTTTTTTTATGTATCTTGAAAAGAAACTCGTTAAAACCCAAATTTCTGAACTTTTTCTATTTTACAAAAGTTTACGTTTGTTCTATAAATTCGGATAATAATTATGTCTTTCAAATAATCATAATCTTTTTTTTTCTTTTTCTTTTTTTTTTCCGTTAACTGGAATGGGATTTTGCGTTTCTCTATCGTCTAATACTTAGCAACATATAGGTTTGGACATGAATACTATTGAGTTGTACAGTCGTGACAAGGCTACCAAAAGTAATAAATACTGTAAAATCACACGATGACGATTTAAATGGGAAGGGTGCTTTCACGAATCAAATAATTGTCGAACTGCCAAAAGTTATCGCGGCCTGTCTATAGAAATAAAACTAATAAAGCCTGGATAGTTGAATAGTCGCATAATCTAATAATTTAAGAGTGATATTCTATTCCAACATTCAAAAACCTAGGCGTTTCGTTGATGTCGGTTACATTAATATTTTCTTTTTATTTAGATTTTCAAAAAAATTTGCCTCTTAAGAATTTCATTAAAAATGTCTAAGCGAATCTTACTGTCATCTTCCTCACTAATGATTCTACTTCATCGTCCACGTTGGTACTATCATCGGCTTTATGTATTGGCCAAATTGGTTAAACTTAATTGCATAAATAATGTTGTTATCATAGAAATCTCGGACTATGATTAAAAGTCGCAGCTAATTCGAAAATGTTTCTATTATAATAGTGTTTCGATAAATATCTTATAATTTTGTGGCGTTTTATCTTGGTTTTATTATTCCTTTATTGACCGTTTCATTTCAACACGTAATCAATAATTCCACTCAATATACGCCGATATTTTTAACACTAAGAAATATTTATCTACTTATTATCCCTCCCAATAACTGTTTTACATTGGATTTACACAAGCGCGTTGTGTATATTACTCACTTTTCTTAATTTATCCTCTTGCTTTCAGTATATCCTCTATGTATCCAATTCTCCAGGCTCTATTTCCTCTAGATTTGTTCTATACATTTACAAAAGTTTCTTTTGATCATGAGTACAAGTTTCTTTTCGGTCACATTTTTGCTGTTGGCTCAAGTTTCCTCTTCATATGTGAGAAAGCAGCCCAGCATTTATTGCCATAGAGGAAGATGTGTATTAGATATCAGCTCAGCACTCTTATCTTTTGAGAACTATTTTTGTTTAGAAACTTTTGTTAAATCCATGCGCCTTCGGATTTCCGTGCTTAATTTTTTTTTCGTCTGTTGTAATACTTCACAGATAGATAAAATTATGTATGTTCTATTTTGACATCTTAAATATGTATTTCCATATTGGGCTGCCTCGGGCGCTTGAGAATACCAGATGCTCTAAGTTTAGGTGTACGGCTGGTGTAATGGCTATTGGGTCCGACTTGGAAATTGGAGAGACGAGTTCTGATATCAGTAGTTTCCGTTTTATTTTCTAACGCGCAAATACACCTGGGAAAGTTATGAATCCATCTTGTCTCCTCTCAGCTATGGCTTATTTAGTAGGACTTTTTTAAAAGAAAATCATTGTTATCTTCCCAAAAATTTTGCAATCAAAATAAATTTTCTGGCTTTACTTAACCTGCAACAATTTGAGAAACCGTTAAAAATACAACAGAAAAATACAATAAATCAGTCAATTAGGCTGACTTGTTTTGAAATTACTTTGCTAATTTGTCTAGAAATAACTTCTGGTTTATTTATGTATCTACAATAAAAGTTATACAATATAATTTTTTTATCTTAAGATAAACTGGGCATCTTCTGTGGCGTAATCTGTTGAAGGTGGCTGCTGATCATCAGATAGGAATTTTAGCATGCTTGCTGGTACCAATTTTAGGGACTGATTAAATGTGTAAATTTATTAAATGTAATCCGTTATCCTCCCGCACACATACAACATTTATGAATTTCTGCAAAGCCACAGTGTTTATCTAGCTTTGAATTATTTTGCATTATTCGATTGCTGGACATTCAATATCTGCTACTTGCGTGCTTATTAATACAATCTTAAGCTGTTCATGTTTAAGGCTAAAATTGCTACTTTAATCAAATAGCATCATAAAATAGGTGCGGTGGAAAAAGAGAGCAGGTGAGGTTGAATGTTTGATACACAAACAAATATTTAGAAAATGTTACAAAAATAAGAATAAATAAGATTGTAAAATTTAAATTATTATTATGGATTACTTGTAATTGCATGCATGAAATCCAGTATAAATAATAATTAACCGAAATAATCATTGTGATATTTAAGCATTATATCATGTATTAATAATATATTAAATAGGGTCCATGAATTAGAGGAGAGAATTATCAGTGACTGGCAGCATGGCCCGGCGTTGCCCGTGCTTGATTCAAAAATCGTACGACTCATACAGCAATCGCTATCACTTGACTTAAAAATTTGTTGCCCTTCCTTGCCTTTAAAGGAGTGCCCTTTGCCGTGCTGATGTTGCTACATGCCTTACTTCTTGCCTATATCACACTGCGAATTTTTTCTAACCTCTATAATAAACATTAAATCTGTTACGAAAAAGAACTAAACAAAATGAACACAAAACAATCAGCTTCAAAAAAAGAACTCGTAACTGGAAAAACCGAATGAAAAAACAATTTTAAAAACAAATACTTTTTCACACACAACCCAGTTTCCTGAATTATTGAGACTGTTCATACTACTTGGACGGGTTTGTTTTTGCCCTTGTTTTGTTAACCCGGTCCTTTGGAAACCATACACTGATCCTATTTTAAGTTCAAATAAAAAGAGCTCAAAAGTTATTAACAACGCGAAGTCAACTGCACAGAGTCCAAAATGAAGTGAAAAGCTTAGATGTACTGGGCCGCGTAGTGCAGGCGAGACATTCAACTTAAAAAAAAACAAAATCCGTATCACCTGTGAGTTAATCGGTTGTTTTACAAAGTTTGAGTTCCAAATAAAAAAACGGGCTCCAGCATAACACAATGACATAAATTGAAAAATCGGATCTGGGATGTGGCCTGAAAGAACAAAGTTTAAAGAAGTGGGAAATGGACTCCTGAGAGCATGGTCAATACGGAGGTTTGTATCGATTTTTGCGTTACGACGGGGTCACCCGGCATTCTATGCAAGGCACCTCTAACTGGGCCGCGTGGGAATTTCTGGTTGAATTGTAAAGAACGCCCGAAATTTTAGAATGTAAACCGCCCAAATACCGGAGTACCATCCGATTTAGCAATTTTTTGAAAGCCTGAGTCCAAATTGAAAATCTGTCTCCGTTACGAATTGACGCCGTAAATGTCGGAAGTTGAATCGGCATTTGACGTTAATTGCAGCTTGGGCGTGAAAGGTCAGAAACTGACAGCTGATGTCAGGGTCGATCTGGAGATTTTTAACGATTTTTTGCTGCATGAAGGGGTCTCGCACGCATTTTTGAAAGGGCCCGTAATCTGGTTGGGTCATTCATTTCTGTACATATGGTATGGTGATGTGAGAAGAGACAATTGAGGCTTGTAACTATACATTAGTTGGCGATGAGTTCAATGCTTCACGGTAATGCGGTAAAGGGGAGCAAGTGCTTATGCCAATGATTCATTTGTATTCATCAGATGCCGATTTACCCTTTAGTTTCAGAAGATCCCCATTCGCACCCTGTTTTGCTATGACAATTAATAAGGCCCATGGACAAAAACTGTCTGTCACTGGTGTACAGAGGAGCAGTGCTTCTTATACGGCCAACTTTACGTAGCCTGCTCTCGAGTCGGCAGGCGCCATGATGTGTTCCTTTATTCAACCTCACAAACTGCCTGGCCCTTTGTAATCACATCCATTATCTTTCCCAACTTCAGATGGTAAACGCGCGGTCTGGACGGTCGTAGGCAGATTGCCCTGGCATAAGCCCTGGCATAATTGCGTACCATTTTGGGTTACACGTGGAAGTTATGAATAGGTCTGGTCGGCCGTACTTACGAACGTATGTCATCGCGTCTAGCGTCCTTGCGTGCATGTATCGTGGACTGCCTTTGACGTTGCAGGTAGTATGCACATCTTGCCTATATTGCGTGGATCAGCGTCATTTCGTAAAGCATCACGGAGGTGAATGTAAGAGTCGCAGCGCAACTTCGTCTGATTCAATTTAATGTAACAGAGTCTTTCGGATTCTATCTTGGCAGCCATGTCTACTATGAATTGATGGAAAAGTTGTCGGCTTCGGTGAAGATGATTGAATGCACCCTCATCTACCATAAATAGGTAGGCGTAGAAAGCCCTGCAAGACACTGTTTTTAAGGTGGATCCATTTTGCAGAATGCCAAAGTGGTACTCATCTTCTCCGTAAGGGAAGAGAAGTGGGTATTGCAGTGCATCGTAGGACCAGTGCGTTTCACTGATTCTTCGGAGCCCACTGCCGCGCGATTCGATAACAATGCCACGTCTGTTGTGCTGATCACCGCTCACAATGACGGAAACTTCGTTACGTGCGGGAGCATTGTAACGACGTTCGTGCTCTCCCCGTGGCCGTTTGTCAGCATCAATTACAATAATGAAATCAGAAGAAGTGTTATTTTCGAGAGCATACTTAAAACTGCAAACATAGCTGTTTGTCTCGAGGAGCATTAGTTGGAGACACATTATGATATCCCTGCGAGGATGATTGTCCTGGCCTGTATCGTTCTCGGGAATAATGCCCATGCAGGCAACTGCCTGTTGATTGTAGTCAGCTATGAAGTATATTTGTAGAAAACCGAATCAGTGGCAGTTTCCGGCAAACGAGACCCAATCCGGTGGTAAACCTGACATTGAACCTTGAAGGTGGGATTCCAACCGACTTGGCGGAAGGCATTACCACCAAAAGAGGTCATCTGGAAGGAACAAGTGTACTGTCTGATTTTTGCGAGGAACTGTTTGAGTCTGGACTGGAACCCACCAACAGAGCTTTCAACGGAGCAGATAGCTCTTGAAAAGGTGGCAAGTGTACCTTACCGTCAGAACAACACAAACTCACCAGGCTATTTTTTGGCATTGCAATGCCCACAGACAACTGACATGGATCCTATTTGGAGGTCTTTGCGACCGGAAAGCCTCCAAACTGGCTCATAGTTGAACGCCAGCTTAAACCAAAACTGCTTTGATGGGCTACAGAGCCCTCGCTGTGCATGGCGGTGCTGGTTAACAGTCTGCAACCTTTCAAGCCTTTCAGTAGGTCCTTCTACAGCTCTAGCAGCGGAAGTTGAAATTGCATCGCGTTGCCGCCTTTCCGACACCCTTGCAGCAGAAGTTGCAGCGGCATCGACTGCATGTCGTGCGGTTCTCTCAACCATGGATTCCTGGGACCGTCGAATGGACATTGGCGCAGCTTTCGCTACGTTACGTGCGTTTTTCTCAGCCGTGGTCTGCTGGGACCGTCGAATGTATGTTGCAGCGGCGTCGGCTGCATTGCGAGTAGCTTTTCGATGGCGGGCTCTGTCGAGACAGCAAAAGCGCTTGTGATGAAACTGCTTTTTTGTTGTCTTGCAAGCGTTTAGGTAGTTTCCTCTTACATTTAAACGAATACGTGTAAACTGATTTGCAGTACAAATGGTAGATATGCTCACCAAGCGTTTCATGTGACAAAACATACTGCCTCCGTTGAGATTGACTGGAAAACCTCAAAGAGGCCTCTACCTCGGGTTCCACCTCCCGCTTTCTCTTTGTCGCAGAGGCTCTTTTAGAACGCCTGATAAGGTTGCCTCACCATGGTATTTTGGCACGCTTAACAAAGATGCCGAGTCGGTCATTGCCACGGTACTCAGAAGAGTGCAAAGTAGTGGTTGAAGTAGACGCCAGCTGCTTCTTCCCCAAGGAGGCACACTCAATGGAAACTTGCTCCCGTTTACCCTTAGCCGGTGAGGCTTTTTTAGAACGCCTGCTAAGGTTGCCTCGCCTGAGTTTTTTTGCTGCATTTGCAGAGATGCCGGGTAGGTCATCGCCACGGCACGCAGAATAGTGCAAAGCAGGGGTTGAAGTAGACGCTATATGATCATCTGTAACCGGAGTTATTATATGCTCATCCGCAGTCGCCTGTTCTGCATGTGTAACGTTAACAGTATTAAGAGTCTTCAGTTGCTGACGTGCAGATGTTCGTCGTGTAGGAGCCTGTTGAAGCTTCTCCTAGCTATGGGACATGCTTTCTTTCAGCACGAAAACGTCGCTGTAGGAAGAGGTTACGCAAACAAAACGTTGAAGGTTAAAAAGTAGTGAAAAAATGAGGTGTACAGGGCCGCGTAATAAAGGCAGAAGAGAAATAACTTGCGACAGCATTTAACTGTCTAATAGCAAAACTGAACTACGAAATGGTAGAAATAGGTATGGAACGCTAAGATGGACTGGGCTACGCAATAAAGACAGCACGCAGAGATAAAATGGGTAATGCAAACGTTTAAGCAAATAGGCAAATTGCGGTATCAGGAAGCTGTCAATTAATCCAAGGACAAATGCGTTAATGGCGATCAAATCTAGACGTGAGTGCGGATGCAGCCGCGCTGAAGGTATTTAAAGGGAGCGTGACTTGTCATTGATTGGTGTAGCCTAGACAATGGCCATGACTTAGACCAAAGAATGAGCTCAAGCAAAATGGACGATGCTAGCGCGCATTCACGCACGCGCACATGATTTGGCAAGCGCAAGGCTTGGCCGTAAACGGGGTCAAGATGCCTGCTGCATATGCACCTTGGCTCTAACGCACGTGATGCCGGTGATGAGAATGCAAGGAGCTGCAATGAAGCGTTTGCTCGTTTGTTTTGTGCGACAACGAAAAGCCGCTAACAGTTTGCCGGCATTAGCTTTGAAATGGATTGGGAGGAAGCCCTGCTGTTTTTGCGCAAAAACTCCTCGTCTGGTCTGGGATGCGGCCTGGGCTAGGGGAAAAGGTTTAAAGAATTGAAAAATGGACTGCTGAGGGCGGAACCATTTTCACTCAGCACGTATGCGGGTTTTTTTCAGTAAAGACGCGAATAAAGGAAGTGCTTATTGTGGGAAGATGCGACGATTAAAGGAAAAGTGTTGACAAAGTCGAATATGTCATTTGTGGCTCAAAGTCAGATCTGGTAGCAGGGATAAAAAAGCCGAATTTCAATGGCCCTGCAGCCATTCCAGAATTTGAGGTCAACTGTTTTCTTCCACTCCAGTGCACGCTCTGGCCTGTTTCTTCCCGCGCACAGCGTGACCTTAAATTAATCTGCATTTAGGAAATACCCAAGCAGAAAAAAATTTAAGGGTTGACAGATTTTTGATTTGCAATCTGTTTGGGGGGCGGCGATCAGAGCTGAAACTTCACATCGTGACTCCCAATGGCCTCCTCATAAATCCGGTCGGTTTTTGCTAAAAACCGACATGCGATTCAGGCGCAATCTGGGTGTATCGATTTTGGGGTTTTATCGACTTTCCACGCTGTTTAGGGGTCCGTGGTCATGAAAATTCTGGACAACACTTCTAATGGTAGACTCTAAGATGGTGTCAAATTTGGTTGAAATGCGATCATTCCTTCTGTAAGCAGATTTTTTCAATTATCGATTTTTTCGATTATCGATTTTTTCGGAACCTGAGTCCGAACTCAAAAATCGGTCTCCGTCATGTCCTTACGGCAGCCATTTGCAAACTTGTGGTGAAAACAGCATCGAAATCGGGTGAGAAATGCGTTCTGGGCGAGGTAACAACGCCCACGACAGACACACAGACAACATGAGAAATATAGATAGTAGATAGATAGATAGATAGATAGATAGATAGATAATGTTCTGACTTCTAATCCGCGGTTATCTCCCTTTAATACACTCTTTTTTTTATTTGTAAAAGTACTTTTTATCACATAATATTTGGTGAGGTGCGAACAAATTTTTATTCCGAAAATGCAGCCCAGAAAAAAAAGTTTGGGAACCACTGCTTAACTACATTGAATGTTGGGCCTTGTAAAGTGTGAATATTATTGTAAAAAGAAAAGATGATTACAGTTCATCTATATACGAATAATTATTCAACTCTTAAGACAGGCTCTAGAGGTTTGAGTAGAAAATATTAGTTTCGGACGAAAGTAGAAATTTAATTATTCCTTCTGAATTTTAGATATATCGTTTAAATGCTGAATATTTGCTTGAAAAACATTTTGTTAAAATAATGAATATTTTAATACTTGAATATCCCTTTTACTTAGTGAGGCACATGTGAAGAATAATTTTTACCAAAATTCGAAATTATAGATAACTAATTTCCTGCAGCTTACATTAGCAGACATTGCTATTTAAAACTTTCTCTCCGGATGTTTCCGTTTTTTTTTTGTTTTTTTTTTTGTTTTTTTTTTTCTGATACGTGCACTATTCTTATTCACATGTATCAATGTTTTGCACATTATAATAAAAAGAGTATGAGCATTTTCATGATTTAACTGATTCCTTAATGGCAATCTCTTTATATTATTCTAACCATCACTAATACAACTTTCAAATTATTGACCTTTTTTTTAAGGTGACATGACATCGACTCAACCAGATTATAATGTGATTACTATAATTACCGGTGATATTAATTCTGTTATGTAAAACGCTTAAAACTTAATCTGTTTTTAATTCTATTAGCTTGCTTCACATCTGCTGCGCATAGATGTAGATCAAAGCGTGACTTTCTTTTTTTAAATTATACACAACTCTCAGCAGTATTACCATCGATTAACACATTTTTGGTGTGAATCATCTCAGTTTTATCATAGAATCACTAATCCTTCAAATAATTTGAAATTGTCTTTGGGAGATTGCTTCCAAGATCATGCACTTTGATATGTTTTTAAATTATTTCCTCTATCGTATAACATCAATTTTCCTGCTATTTCCAATTTTAATGTGAGCTACGATGAGAGCAACATACTTCCTATTATTATTATTTCAATTAGTTGCTGCTGTAAACACATTTCTTTCCGGCTCCCAACCAGAGACCTAAGGTTAGAAATGTCTTCATAGCATTTCCACTGATAATTTCTTTGGAAAAAAATTTTAAATACCTAAGATCACATATATTTTACATAGATAAAGAACTCTTTAATGTGTGAGCTGTGCTTGTGAGTACATTTTTGTATTGCTTTAAAGCTTGGACTACAAGAAATCACTTCGATACGTCTATCTGAACCATTTCCAATCAACCCGAGGACTTCAACTACAACTCGAATTATGGATGTCCTCATATGGTACGTTTTTGAGATTTCCATTTCAAGTTCCTTGTATTTTGATAATTTTTGGAAGATCTTCAAAAATACATTACAATCTGCAGGGATTGCCATGTCCAAATAAAACATAATCTGTTCTTGTCGTTTTGGGTCACCATGTTTAGGTGATTGGTTTTGATTGTCCTGTGTGTTTTTTAAAGACCAATAAGATTGTTACAGGTCCCATCTCTGTAACCGTCAAAGGGTGATGTTCATATCGGCTTCTGGAGTTACCTTTCCGTATTTTTTTTTATATTCTCAGTGTATATAATGGCCCACTCTATCAAGCCGAGTTTTATATTCAGTGCGTACTAATACCGTGCAATCTGATAGAAGATTGTCAACTGTAAGTGGATATTTTTCACAGAATCTGCATTTTAGATTAATACAATTTTACAGTATAGGTACTTGTTAATATCTAGTTCTCAAGCATTAGTCCTAAGCATCAAGAATAAAACCTTCGGTTTCAGCTTTTACTCCTGCATTACGTAACAACTGATGGGCACGGGGTTTTTATACATCAGCTTGTCTAGTACGGGCATATTATTGACCATTTGATACATGGATTTTACTTACTTTTGTAGGATCTTTGCCGCTTCAGTAGATATACTATGGTTTATTTGCACTTCTTTTCCCACTTGAAATTCCGTTTTGAACTTGTTGGCTTCCTTTATTACTGAATAACTTTTCTTATTTCTTTCAAGTTCTTTCGCGCAGATTATCATCTAGTCTTCTATATTTTCCAGGTTTTACAGACGGATTGTTGTCGGTTTGTATCACAGTTCTAGCTAAAATAATCTTCTGCTTTCATCACATTACTATTATTATTATTATCTTTGATTTTTGTTCTATACTCCTTTTTCTTCCGGGTTCCAACGAGAGAGCTTATGTGACGTGTATCATGGCGTTTTCCACTGAATTACATTTGTAAAATAAAATAGTTTAAAACACAGAAGTATTTTACATAGGTAAAGCCCTTTGGAAGGTGTTATCTGTACTTGTGAAAGCAAATTTTGTATTTCTTAAAGGCATGGACTACCAGGAGTCCCTTCAGTGAGTACATAAAATGCTTTTTACAATTAAACTCAAGGCTCCAAACACAAATGGAATTACGGATATCTTCCTGTGTCACGTTTGTTTTTTTAAATTTCCACTTCAAGATCCTTATATTCAATAATCTTCTGAAGATTTTCAAAGATTACACTCTTCTTCTTCTTCTTCTTCTTCTTCTTCTTCTTCTTCTTCTCATTATTATTATTATTATTATTATTATTATTATTATTATTATTATTATTATTATTTCTTTTGATTTCTGATTTGTACTCATTTCTATCCGGGTCCCGCCCAGGGAGCTAAATTTAGAAATGCTATCATGACATTTAGCACTGAAAAAAAAATACATAATTTACATACACAAAGCCCTTCGCAAAGTGTAAGCTGTAATCGTGAGTACAATTTTTTTATATTTCATTAAGGCAAGCGCTTCCAGGATTCACTTCAATTAGTCTACTGGAATATTTTCCAACCAATCCGAGGGCTCCAACTACAACGGTGATTGTTGATGTTCCCATGTGCCACATTTTTGAGATTCTGATTATTATTATTATTGTTATTATTATTCATTACTTTCAGGCAGGTCTTTTATTTTTACAACTAACATTTATGTTGCGGGATAATTTCCAATTGTATAAGTTTTTTTTTTATATTGTATAACACGGAAAGAATCAAATCATGAATACTTTCAGAATAATATCACTATATTTAATCACAATATGCAGAAACCCTATCAATATTAATTGGCCAAAATAAAGTATGAATGCTTACAATCTGATCGTATTTAATTTATTTTATTCTGTCAATATTCATTGATAAGTTTTTACTCTTTTGTTCACGAATAGCTACCAATAACATTTGAACTGGGAACTCGTAATCGTTGATGCAAGAATAAATTTGTATGTGATGTTGTGATGATAGTTATGATATAAAATCATCCCATGTTTCACTTGAATATTTCCCTCGAGAATATATGCTTCGCCTAAAATGTACTTTCTGGAGTTAATATCATATTTACTTATCTTTATATAAATATTAGTGGGAATGTATAATTTCACAGAGATAATGGAATTCTCAGCGAGGTATTTGCAAAAACCGATATTTCTACAAATGATATTGAAATATAAAGAATATTAGCTTATTGCAAGACTTAAACATTAGTGCATAACAAACAACTTACAAACTATAAGAAAGGAATATCATTCAAATTTTAGTAAAAATTTTATTTTCCTTTTCGTTCTACATTTACAAATATTTTATAAGTTTTATTTTCCTGAGTTGATTTTTTTAAATCAATTTGTTTATAGTTAAAATTCGTGATCACAAATTTTACTATGAAAAAATAATTTTTTTTTTTACTAGAACTGAAAATAATATATTCAGAAAATGATGAATGAGATTTAATCTCTGTGTATGCGATATTTTTTTTTATATATTAAACGGCCTCTTTGCCAGAATAATAATTTCTTTAATAAATTATTATTGAAACAATATTGAATATTTAAAATGCGTTCAAATTAGATAAAATCTTAATTTATAATGATCAAGTCAAATGCAGAATGAAGAATTCACACAATAAATTTGAATCCGTCTTCATCTCGCTAATGTGAATTATGTTCTTTGAAAATAAATTTATTTTTTATGAATCCAGATCATCGTTGAAATATATCATGTTAAAATACAATCAGGCTCAAAATAGAACACTGCTATCATATTTTGGCGGGAGCAGCCCAGACCGCAGACTTTAGCCTCGATAGAGGCCAAAAGCTTATTCAAGTCCTTGTATGTGACGAATTATTTGCCACCCACCGAACTCCCTCTCACAGGCGGGAAGTGGCAAGACACTTGGTGCACTATCCCCACATTCACGGAGAGTGCTCGGACGAACTACATTCTTTGGTTCCTCCAGTTTTAAGCTTCACGACAAGGGCACGACATGAGACTTACATTGTATCAAACCACCCACATTACGTCCGTATTCCATCGGAAAGAAGTAAGTTCCACTCGAAGAGCTTCTTCACGCAAACCAATGATTTTTGGAACCGACTTCGATGAGGATGTTTACCCAACTGCTGCAATTTTCAACTGTTCATAGGTTAACCGGTATCTTATATTTCTATTCATACAAACTGATTCGTAACTTAACACTCTACCTCGAGTGTCTTTGCACAGGGTGAATCTTAGTGTGAAAAAAATATATTTCCATTCCACTGAATTTTCGAATAAATTTATTCATACAGAGACGCGCGTCAAGATACACAGACACACAGTAAATAGCAGCCCCTTTATATATATATATATATATATATATATATATATATATATATATATATATATAGATAGATAGATAGATAGATAGATGTGTGTGTGTATATATATATATATATATATATATATATATATATATGTGTGTGTGTGTGTGTGTGTGTGTGTGTGTGTGTGTGTGTGTGTGTGTGTGTGTGTATACAACATATCTTCATGCATGGATGTTTGATTGAATAAATTGGATATATTATATCTATTTTATTTTAATTCTTTCGATTTCTCTGATCGACTTCTTACATGTGGTTATCATATTCATTAAGGAAGGTGCTGCATTTTCTTTTTTTATTCTTTTATTTCCCAAGTACTTTTAATCTCATCTTCACGGTTTTATTGCTAAAACAAATAATTAATGTAATTGATAGCTGTGATTTTTTTGTAAATGCGCATGAAACGCACTCAGATATTATTATTTTAAACGCTCTATTATACTTAATATAACAATTAAAGATAAAGCTACTATGTTTGTCCATGATTCTATCTAAGATAACTTTATTTTATATAATTGTAATTTTTTTTATAATTATAATTTAAGCATTTTTAAAACATTGCTAGTATAGACATTTTAAAACATTGTTGCTATACTCATAACTAGCCTTATTTAGTGTTGGTTGTATGTTCCATATATTTTTTCCCGTAAAACTTTTCCGTTGCATACATGTTCCTCCGATGATATGTTCAGTATTCTCCTGTATAACCTCATTTCTATTGTCTAAAGTCTTCCATTTATCTGCGCGGCAAGTCGCAAGTAATATCTTCCGTATAGGACAGAATTTAATTCATCAAAATCGTTCATTAAGAACCTTGTGACGTAAAGAAAATGCCATTCAGTTAATTCAAGCTGATATTTCGATATGGTAAAGGATATGTACAAAACGTTAACACTATCACTGTTGCTAAATCACTCATGTCGAAGAGTCATTTTTTCTAATGTTATTTTCTTTATCTATAATCATATGAAATTAGGAAATATATTTTTGACAAAATAAGCAGCATAATAATATTTCATTTATTTCTAAACAATAAAATAAGCTTCTTAATTTTTTTCATGTACTTTTTATTACAAAATTCACAGTCATGGTATAGTTTTATTTTATTTACACTGTTGCGTGAAGAATTAATTCGAAGATTACAATGCGTATAACATTTCTTACACAATTGTTGATGATGTGGGACTTGATAGATAGGAAGCACTGCAAATATTATATATTAAATGTAATAAGGCTTTAATAAAGAAAGAAATGTAACACGATAAAGCAGATTAACTTTTCAGGAAAAATTAATTATGATTTCAATTTGTACTTTTTTTGCTTTAATTTTCCTAAACCGTGTAGAATTATTGCAAACCCAAACTGAATCTAAAAATTCCACACTCTCAGTAGAATGGCAAATTTTGAGATAGACATCCATTTCTTGACGTGAGTCCCGCTTTAACTTAGCCTTTAGTAACGATGCCATGCCCCGGTTGTGTTATTTTAAAATTATTTGCTCAAGCTGAATATTTTTTTTCTTTTGGAATTCACATAAAGAAAAACGCATTGTTTGAAAAAATTGAATTTGAAGGAAGACGAAGCATACACGGCTCATGACCTTGTCGAAAGAAGAGAATAAATTATTCAAATGTTTACATAGCTTAAAATTCTGACGCATAAAAACATTTGTTCCTACTGAAATCAAAGAGATATCGGCTCACGTTTAACGGTCATGAGACCACGAAGATTAATTTATGACTCCAGCTGAATATTTATATTCCTTTAAATTGTAATCCAGAATTTTTTTTTTACACAGCAGAGGATCACATTTTATGTTTAGTTCTAATTATTCGCTTCTGTTTTTTTTGTTTTGTTTTTTTTTACTTACTTAATTACTTACTTTATGGACGTTCTGGTAGGCATAATTCTCTATTCAAATATCTTTAGATAGTGATTTTCCAAGCGTAGCTTAGATGTGGCACAAGGCCGAAATTAGGGGGCACCCAGTGAGGATCGAACTCACTACTTAGTCGTAATTGTTCTAGCGAGCCAAGCTTGCTAACCATTACACCGCCCCGAGGTGCCCTCAAATATCTTTAGATATGTTGTAGAGTAGTTTCACAGTGGAGGCTTGTATTTCACTAAGTCGGTCCTAAAAAGTTTCGACGTACAAAAACGTTAGGAACTTGATATAATAAGTAATGACGCAGAGAAATCTAGTGGTGGTCGCTGATACTCTAAGTAGTATAAAATCACCAATTGCCTCAGACTTCGTATTTTAATATTTCAAATTGTCCTAATATATTATTGATATTTTCGGGTGTCTTCAAATACTTGTTGCCAATAGTTGTAGCCATTAACAAAATTATTCTTGGGAAGAAGGTGCAACCTAAAGAACTGTTTAAAATGTAATAGCGTAAAATGTTGTAACATGTTGTATTTTGAAAGTAGAGGTATGATTTCGTAGGCAACAATCTATACAAGGAGGAAGATTGATCGAAGGCAAGAGGTGGCAACAATCACACCTCTCCCTAGTACATAATCTTTAGTTCAGTCTGCCTAGCTGCCATTTTATATATATATATATATATATATATATATATATATATATTACATCTATTCTTTCGTTGTCCTGTTATTACCGGGATGTAAAAAAAAATCTATTTCCATACCTCATGATGTCTGTACGCACAGATGAAAGCTTGTAAAAAAAATTAAAAAAGAGCTTTTGCAACTGGAATTTATAAACATGGATCATAACATTCATCTACAGGTTCGGGGTTAATTTAATTCATTAAATTTGTTTGCGAGCATGGATTCTCGCCATTTATATCATTAACTTCAATATTTGTTTTTTGTATGAATGATTCATGTAATGTAAATTGAACTGCACGACATACTTGATATATATATATATATATATATATATATATATATATATATATATATATATATATATATATATATGTGTGTGTGTGTGTGTGTGTGTGCGCGCAATATGATTCTTAATATTCTTTTGTGGAAATTTTTATGGAAAAGTTTCGAACATCTATAACAAAGAAACAGTGGATAATTGTAAGCACGAATCAGTCAACTTAAAATTAAATCTGTATAAAATCTAATAGACTCATACACGATACTACACCGGTATTTACTTTCTGAAATATTTATGTCTTTAGATTGGAATCTACATAAACTATTACTCGCTGCCTGCTTAAATCTTTTGATTATTGAACTAATTCAATTCTTTGCTCAACGCAGAAAGATAACTGATGTATACATTAAGTGGAGCAGAAGCATATAAAATCCTGCTACAGCTCTGGAAAATTTCTATCAAATTACAATTCTGATGAAGCAAATAATTTGGAATTGGAATTAAATGTTGTTACATGCGATATCTATGTAATTTCTATTTCTTTTATCATTAAAGAATTAATCGAAGATAAAAAAAAAAATCATAGAAATTCTAGTGGATTGAAGGTCAAACGTGCTACGAATCAAGAAGAATATATCTGTGGAGTATATAATGATGCTATGAATTGAAACGGATAAAATATCTGTAAAACAACACCGAAATATCTACCATTAATTTTGTCTATGTCACCTGCCTTCGTGTTTTTGTCGATGAGAATAATATAGTAAAATTTCTGTTTTCCCACAGGACTAAAAAGAGACATGTAATATATAATAAGCACCCATTAAGAAAAATCTTGAACGTCATCATTTTATATTGTTTTCTTTTTTTCGTTTCCCAAATACAAAATAATTCAAGGTTGGACGCCCATCACTGTATGATGGAAACGAAACCGCCTTTGTAGATAATTAGTTGGATGGCTTTTCTTCGTTTTGACATTTCTCCTGTTTTATCAAAATTCTGTAAATATCATTGACATTCCAGAAAATTTATGT